CCCAAGCCATTGGGCCTGTAGAACCAATGGCCCTCTTCTGCCTGTTTAGAACTCTGTAGTTCCAGATAAGCTGGGCTTCAAGCCCACCTACTTGTTGGAAGCTCCACAGTTATCCAAGCGCAGCCTGAATGGGAGGTGGATGTAGATGCCTCAAACTACTTATCCACTTTAGTGCACCCGGAAGCCTGGAGGGTCCCGAACAGTCTGGTCTTTGGGCATAGTGCACTGAGCACTTAGCACAGGCCGTCGGGCCTCTGGAACCTGCGATGCTCCCCTCCTTGCTGACATATCCACAGTCCTCCAGACACACGGGGAGGCGGATGCAGGAGCCCCAGATCCGCCCAGCCCTTCCTCTGCACACAGATGGTGAGGTGCAGGAGTCCCCAGAAAATTTCCATATATTTTAATCTGATGTTTCATATATGTGTGTGTGCCTTGTTGCTTATAAACACTTAGAACAATCAGATTTATTTGTATGTGTGTTTATTCATCTAGAGTTAAACAACATTTCTTTATGACTTTATCTTGTCTTGGTTATTACATCTAGGGTTTAGCATCCAGAGTTGTTGATTACATCCAGAATTCATTTTCTATGTAGAACTTTTTCTCTGGAACAGTCTGCAATATAGTATGCTTACAATCTCAAATCTGGTTCTTTATATTAGATACAAAATTAAATGACAAATTTTTGGATATTTTGTGCTAGGGATATATACCATGATACACTGTATTATTAATTTCAATAGTTATTTGTTCTTTTTAAAATTTTTCCAGCAAATAACATAATGCTGTTATTATGCTGTTAAGACAGTTCTATGTATTGCATCTTAACTCTCAAGGATTCAAAATTCATAGTAAATACTGAACAATAGAATTTGTTGATATGTTTTGAATGATTTGCCTTATTATCTTGTTTAATCTATGGTTTTCTAAAGTGAAATATTTAAATATTGAGTTGAGTCATCTGTTATTTCCTGAACCATGAATTCATTTTTAAAATTTCTCTAGAAGTATTCCCTAACTGATAATAAAATATACTTTCATTTTCTTATTTTAATTGGTTTATTTTTTGAGTTCAGTGTTTGATGTACATGATGTTCATAGTCCTTGCGAGGAGTAAGTATATGTACATTAAACATTCTTCATTTGTTGGTCTTCCCCATTTGCGAAATGTCTTTCTCCCTATTTCTAGTTACCTATGAAATACTTAATATTCTATTCAGCCTTTCACTTGGTGCATGTATCATTTAAAAATTCATGATTCATTTTCTAATTCTTAGGAGTTTTCCAATATGTTTATACTGTTAGTTTCTAGTTTCATTTCAAGGTAACTTGAGAGCTTATGTTACATGATTTCTATAGTTCAGCTATGTTAAAGTTTTTATTATTGCTCTGAACATGATCTAAATTGGTGAATATTTCTTATGATTTAGAGCACACTATGTATTCTGCAGTTATTGGGTGAAGTATTATACAATATCCAATGAGTCCATTTGGGGGGGTGATGATGTTCATTTTAATTATGTGTACAAGTAGATTTCTTGGCTTAGCAGTTTTTCATGGATATTGTTTTAAAATCTGAGTCATTTGTGGATTTGTGATTTTTCCTTTAATTTCATATTTTTGCCCCCACCTGTCTTGTATTTCTGTTTAGTGGAATATGTATAAATAACTTAGTTTTTGTTAGAAAACAATTTTCTATATCATTATATGATCCTGTAAAACATTTTTCTTTGAGGAATAGGTTGAGTAATATTAAATAAATATAATTTCAGCAGGTTTTGTTCAATGAAGTGTAACTTGTGGAATTTTTATGTATCCTATGTTTTTAGTTTTATCTTTCATTTGTTATTTTTTAAAAATATTTGTGTACCTTTTAGTGAGTAAGTAAAAATTCAGTCCATTTATAATTGAGTCCTTGGTACTTTGAAACATTTACACATTGTCAGATGTTAAAGTAGACCAGATTATTTCACAAACTTTTTGTAGTACAAAAACTGCAAATTAAATGTATTGATTTTTCAGAGTAAGGGTGTATACTAATTGTCCTTACCTTATTTCCCATGCCCAAATAAAGTTGTAAATTTTAAACATCTCTGTCACCTCCCATCTGTAGAGAATGGATATTTTCCCAGAAAACTAAAGTAAGATTTTGTTTTCTTATTAACAATCACACTGTCTTTTATTTGTTTCTGCAGATAACTGATAAACTAAGCGTATAAGCATTCCCATTCTATTTGATTCTGTTTATATTATGTGTCTTCCTAGTTTCTTTTCTGTTTAATAGAAAATTTTATATAATTCCATTTTCTGTTACTGATTTTGATATTCATCATGCCTGCTTCCTAATTTTTCCTGATTTTTCAGTGTTAGAAATATCTAATCAAGGTCCTAAGTTCGAGTCCCACTACACACACAAATACACACACAAAGTAGAAATATCTATTCAAAAATTATCTACTTTACATTGAAACACCTTTCCAAGACATTCATATACTTTAGCATTTTCACAAGTACTTTCCATTATAATTGTGAAACTCATTCAACATGTCACTACTTCTAATAACCAAGTAGGTGATTACTGTTATCCATTTGAACGTAATTTCCTAATAAATACACGTAGAATCTATGATAGCAAAAATTTTCTGCACTCTTAACAACTTCTGTATGATCTCTTTAATAACGGCTAATGCTTTGCTGATGTTAATTTATACAAACCGCCTTTGCCTGTAGTAGTTTGGAACTTTCTCTTTGGTTACCTCTGTGAATTTTTCTATACTTTAGGTAGCTATCTGATAATGCTTTAAATAGCTTTAAATGGATAATGTATTGACCTTTCTCACATTGTTTCCTCAGTTAATTTTTTTTTTTTATTTTGAGGTATACTTTCCCCTTTCTCTGTATTGAGGAGCTGTTACTATTTTTGGCTCATAAGAGTTTATTTTATTATTCTAATAAGGTAAAGGTCAAAATTACATTATCTTCTTCAGTGTTGAGAGAGACAGTATTTAAAATTTGGTACTTCACTTGGTGCCAAGAATTTGGGTGTACAAATATCACAGTTGTCTAAACTTTGGAAAACTGATGTTTTCCCCTACCTAGAACTTATTTAAAACCAGAATTTTCAAAGTAGTTTTGTTTTCCCCACCTCACTCTCAGAATTCTGAAGGGATTTTTCTTTTGTTATCATTGTGAGAACCTAGCGTGCTGGTGGAGATAAAATTAAGAAAGTTTCTGTCTCTCAAATGCATTATTTTATCTTCAGTTATAAAGACACAATATATTTCTACTATTACTGGTGCCTAAGTTTCTTGGCAGTAATTTATGCTTATATCAGTCTATCTCTTTGTTCTCCCATTTAATCTTAAAGGGTTTCTGATTTTAAGATAGGTTGCTTTTTTGTTATTGAGAAAAAAAATTTATTCAGTGTTTTCCCAGGTAAACTGCAAAGTAAAAGTGTGTGTGTTCACCATTTGATTTTTATGTGGCACTGTTTAACCCTAAACTGGATTCAACTGGTGTCTGAATTAAAGATAATGTGATAAAAAAGTGTTTACTGGTTGTTCACTACTTTGGATCTGATAGACACTTTGACAACAATATTTGGCATTTTTTCTTGAGTTATATATGTTTTGTTCATTTTTCTTATGTGTCTTGATTTTACTCAATACACAAATTCTATTTGTTGTACACAGTGCAAGTAAATTGTTTTTAATTCTTCACTCTATTGCTGTTATGATTTACCTAGGTATCAATATCTCTAATCTGATAGTTTCATGATTTTCTTCTGGGGGAACTTTTTTTTTTTACATCCAAAAGATATTTGACTGAATTCTCAAAGTACCTAAGTTTGTCTTTCCCACTTCAAGATTTAACTAAATTATTGTACATGGACTATGAAAAGTAAAGAGATTGTTTAAATGTATGTACCTCTTTGACCCTGCCTCCTGTATTAAACAGAAAGTTGTTTCTGCTACTTTACACAATAACAATTACACTATCACGAATCAATAGTCTATTCCCATACAAACCCTTCATTTTCTGTGATCTATTCATCATTCTCACTAATAGAATGAAGGACTCCCTTCATTTTCTGTGATCTATTCATCATTCTCACTAATAGAACAATGCCCAAAATAGCAGATTTTGAGCCCCTTTCCTGTGTGTTACAAGAGGTGTCACTTTAATGTTTACCAGTTATTCAACATTGTTAAACATTTGTTATTCTGAATAGTTATATTTTTCTTTGACATAGGAAAGGTGTGATTTGGAAGTGTCAAAATTTTTTTCAGTTTTTCCTTTTATTATACAAAATGTATAGTATGCAAAAATCTTGTTTTTTTCAGTATGTATGATTTATATTTTAATCATATCCATCATCTGTTTTTCTCCCATATACCATCTTGTGTTTCATTAAACTATAAGACACTATGTTTTCCTTAATCTAATTTTGTTGTTCTTCGGTGTTCTCCAGTAAGAACTGCAGTATTTTACATTAGTGTTTCAAATTATCATTCATGAATTTTACTTAGAATTCAGTTGTTTTTGTTTATGAAACCAGATTCAAGTTTCAAAATTCTGTCTAAATATAATCATAGAAGAAAGGCATCAATTTAATAAATAATCAGTTGACAAAAAGATACATTCTATGACCTATTAGAGCCATTCATCAGGTATTTTTCTCCTTAGTTTCTTTACTTAGATGCTGATCTTGTAGGATCCCTGTATAAACTGTGATTTAAAGGCAGTGTTCAAATAAAACTGAGGTTACCAGCAGGAGAATCAGTGCTCCCATTCTGCTGTTGCTTTAACAACGAATTCTGTAGTCTAGCATCAGAATTCTTGCAGGAGATGTGTATATGAATGGAGAATAAGTGCTTGATGACCAAAATGTGAAGCAAACATTTGGAAGACTCAGGCTTATTTCAGCTTTTAATGAGTAGATACGAGATATTTCATGTTGTCTCACACTGCTTGGATATATATGTCTGATGTTTTAGGAGGCTGTATCTTTTGCGGATGTGGCTGTAAACTTCACCATAGAGGAGTGGGCTTTGCTGGATCCATCCCAAAAGAAGCTCTACCGAGATGTGATGTGGGAAACCTTTAGGAATGTGTCTGATATAGGTAAGAACAATATCCTTTTCTCATTTATGCATAAGAGAGCACTTGTTATTGCTTGTTGGTTCAGTTTATTTCGTTGGAATACAAAATACTTGGTAAAGTAATCACATATTTTATTTCACTTTATACTCTTTAGGAAGAAACTGGGGTGGTAAAAAAATTGAAGATGAGAACACAAATTGCAGGAGAAATCTAAGGTAATTTGACTCACAAGAACAATGTTTCAAGAATCAGAGATATTAAAACTGAGCAAAATATACAAATGTAGCCATTTTCTGCTTTCTTAAATCCAACAGTATTTCTCCAAAGATGCATATACATATGGAGTACCTATAATTTGATAATTATTTGAAATATTATAGTATCTAAAATGTTGCAATCCTGACATTATGCCACAAATAACATTATCTAATGTAAATGGATAAACAAATTACTTCCCATCAAGATTATAAAAATTTCATATGGAATTACATTTAGGCATTGACTATAGGAGTATATAAAACAAGTTTGTGTTTAGGCTGAAAGTCAAATTCAGGATATCAAATTATATATGCCTTATTTACAGAATACCACATTCATGTCAAATATTGTGCAGGGAATGCTGTATATATTTAAATGTGGTATATACATTCAGTAATTGGAAAATTGCTACCCCTGTGAACATATTTAACATCTAAATACTATTCTTTTAATAATAATTGTTTTCAAGCAACCCTCCAAAGCATTCAGTCCATTCATGTTCCAAAATACTGGAAGGCACATTTACATAACATTTGTTGGAATGTTATTGTAGTGTAACATGTAAGAGAAATGTGTGTATAGTTTCCTCAAAAGAGTAAAAGTAAAAATTTTATTTCATCCAGCTTTCTATTCCGAGTGTATTCCTCCCAAAGTTAAAGTAATCGTATTATAAAAATGCATGCATACCTTGGTTTGTAGCAGTACAGCTTACAAAAGCTAAATTCAGGAAACAGTCTAGATATTCACCCATAGGTTAGCTCATTAAGGAAGTAAGGGATAGCAGGGGAAAAGTGATGCATATATGGAATTCTGCCTCTACAAAGCAGAGGCAGAAATATCATGTAGTCATGTTCAGTCTACAAAACTTAATGAATGATGATTTTTTGTTTCAAAATGAGAAGTAATGCTGGGGATGTAACTCAATATTAAAATCCTGGATTAAATCCCAAGCACTGAAAAAATGTGGTATGTATATATAATAAAGAATGAAATGATATAAATTCTCACCCCAAAAAAAGATGTATCTAGAGTCAATAATGTTGTTATATAATTCATACACAAATTTCAATATCAGATGTTACATTCAGTATAAAAAAACCCAAATTATGAATTGAAGAGTAAAAAAAAAAGGACAGATGATACACATTTTCGCATGTAAGAGGCCCAGTGAAAAGGGAAAGAGAGTCATAGAAAAAAGGGCATGAAAAATAATCAACATATGGTATACATATTCTTCAAAATAAATGTATTATGTATTGCAAATGCGTCAGTTGCAAACTGCTAAATGAATACTGCTGTTTTGGTAAAAAGCAATTTCTAAGCATCATCCAGAGTATACAGCAAATTCATGATCACATGTTCTTGGGGGGCATCAAACCAGATCTCCTCTAGTAAACCATTAATTAAAAGACACTTTTAAATGTGATTGGACATTTTCTTATTATTCCTTTACAGTACTGAAGAAGTAGAGAAGTGTGACTATGAATTGTGGTATCAACATAGAGAAATGATTTTCCAGACTATGGACACTAATATAAACATAAAATCAGTTGATACAACACCAGGGGAAAGCTTTGGTTCTAGAAATACCCTGATTGGTCTTTCATCACTAAATGAGCCTATTATACCTAACACTGAACTCAAACCATATGAATATCAGGCATCTCAAGACAAGCTGTCTAGTTGTAGCAAATTTGAGAAAACCTGCACTGATTTGAAATCCTCTCAGAAACAAGCAAAGACAGAGAAACCTTATGAATATAAGCAGTGGGAAAAATTATATTCTTACTACACTGAAGGAACTACAACTGAAGAGAAACCCTTTGTGTATGAGGAAGATGTGAAAGCCCTTACTACATCTAACTATCTTCAAATCTGGGAAAGGAATCACAGTGGAGTAAATGTTTATATATGTACACAGTGTGGAAAAAGTTTTAATTCTCACCATTTTATTCAAATACATGAAAGAGTTCATATTGTCAAAAAACCTTATATATCTAAACATGATGGAAAATGCTTCACTAATAGCACTTCATTTGATAATCATCAAAGAATTCACATTGGAGAGAAACCTTACTTGTGTAAACACTGCGGAAAAGCTTTCAGCACACACAGTGATTGTCAGAGACATGAACGAACTCACACTGGGGAGAAACCCTATGAATGTAAGCAATGTGGGAAACCTTTCAGGACACACAGTGATTGTCAAAGACATGAACGAACTCACACTGGGGAGAAACCCTATGAATGTAAGCAATGTGGTAAAGCCTTCAGGACACACAGTGATTGTCAAAGACATGAGCGAACTCACACTGGGGAGAAACCCTATGAATGTAAGCAATGTGGGAAAGCCTTCAGCACACACAGTGATTGTCAAAGGCATGAAAGAACTCACACTGGGGAAAAACTCTATGAATGTAAGGAGTGTGGTAAAGCTTTCAGCACACACAGTAATTGTCGAATACATGAAAGAATTCATACTGGGGAGAAACCCTATGTCTGTAAGCAATGTGGGAAAGCATTTAGCAGGCACAGTAATTGTCAAATGCATGAACGAACTCACACTGGGGAGAAACCCTATGTATGTAAGCAGTGTGGGAAAGGTTTCAGCAGACATGGTACTTGTAGAATACATGAAAGAACTCACACTGGAGAAAAACCCTATGTATGTAAGCAATGTGGGAAAGGTTTCAGCAGGCATAGTCATTGTCAAATACATGAAAGTACACATATTAGGGAAAAACCCAATGAATGTAAACAATGTGGAAAAGCTTTCAGTACATACAGTGATTGTCAGAGACATGAAAGAACTCACAGTGAAGAGAAACTTTATGTATGTAAGGAATGTGGCAGAGGTTTCAGGACACATAGTGATTGTCAAAGACATGAAAGAACTCACACTGGGGAGAAACCCTATGTATGTAAGCAGTGCGGGAAAGCTTTCAGCAGACATGGTAACTGTCAAATGCATGAACGAACACACACTGGGGAGAAACCCTATGTATGTAAACAATGTGGAAAAGCTTTCAGCAGACACGGTGCTTGTCAAATACATGAGAGAACTCACACTGGGGAAAAACCTTATATATGTAAGCAGTGTGGGAAAGCATTCAGCAGACATAGTCATTGTCAAATACATGAAAGAACCCACATTGGGGAGAAACCTTATGAATGTAAGCAATGTGGGAAAGCATTTAGCACACATAGTGATTGTCAGAGACATGAAAGAACTCACACTGGGGAGAAACTCAATATATGTAAGCAATGTGGGAAAGCTTTCAGCACACTGAGTAGTTGTCGAACACATGAAAAAACTCATACAGGAGAAAAACCTCATATATGTAATCAGTGTGGTAAAGCATTCAGTACACGCAGTCATTGTCGAATACATGAGAGAATTCACACTGGAGAGAAACCTTTTGTATGTAAGCAGTGTGGGAAAGCTTTTAGCACACACAGTAATTGTCAAGTTCATGAAAGAACTCACACTGGAGAGAAACCCTATGTATGTAAGCAATGTGGAAAAGCTTTTAGCACACCAGGTTGTTGTCGAAAACATGAAAGAACACACAGTAGGGTGAAACCCTATGTATGTAAGCAGTGTGGAAAGGCTTTCACAACACAGAGGTATTGCCGAATACATGAAAGAATTCACACTGGAGAGACATCCTTTCGATGTAAGCAATGTGGGAAAGTTTTCACAACACAGAGGTATTGTCAACAACATGAAAGAACACATTGGGGAGAAACCTTACCTATCTAACAAATGTGGGAAAGCTCTTAGCACACACAGTATGTATGAAAGACTTAGAATTCACTGGATGTAAGTCATGTATGTAAGCAATGAAAAAAACTTTCAGCACACACTGGTATTGTCCAATACATGAATCATAAAGGGTACAAATTCCATATATGTAGGTTACATGGGAAAACATTCACTTATGCTCTTAGGTAAAAAGCAAGGAAATTAACTGTGAATATATAAAGTAACTTGCACTGACCTGAAAGGACACAAAGTAGAATTCTTTCTTTGTAGACAGTCTGGACAATTGAACCCTAACTCTAATAATCTCCTAGGCCAGGTTTCTTTTTCCTTCTGTCAAGATATTTGGTACATGGTTGTTAGTTGTACTATAATCTGATTCCTTGGTAATAGAAATATTTCTTTGTATGTCCTCTTGACTTTCTTTTTCATATGTTCACAAATGTGAACACAAAACCACTGCTCAAAGATAGTTGAGTTAATATTTTACACTCCTGATATCCAGCAAGTAGTCAGACCACTGCTTGCCAGGTGTCTGGAGGCCTTGTGTTTGGAACTGTCCTGCTTTGTTTACTGTGTCCAATCTACATTTTCTCTGATTTTCTCCTTGTTAAAATGTAAGCAAATATGTATAAATCTATAGTTTCTTACCACATGGTAATTTAGTGTTTAAATATTTTTAAATAAATTTTATTTTCAAAAAGATTTCTGCTGAGGCAATGTAAGTATCACAGGAATACTCAGAAACCCTTATAACGGCCATGGGCAGTGGCTAAGAGTACTCAGGTGAAATCCTATTTGACTTATTGTTGTCTTCCCCTTGAATTATCACTGCCACTTGTTGTTTTTCGTGAGTTTATCATGTGTAATTGTCACTACCAGTATTTTTTCTGTTTTGAATCCTTGGAATGTTCAGGAAGTGGGTATTAAAGAAATGCATTATATGTAATTAATGTTTGTCCCACTACATTTCACATGTGCTCATGTCTGGGTTAGGGGCAATGGACTTCCTCCTCCTTTATGGTGGTTACATGGTTGAAGTTTTTTTAAGTTTATTTTTTAAGATGTGAAAAGAATCATTTTTTTCCAGAAGGTGGCACAGTATATTTTCTGGGCATTGTAATAAAGTCATTGGTCTATAGATATTTGTATACCTCTAAGTATAGTATGTGCCTCTGATGTGTGTTGTTTAATCATTTATGTTTTCATAAATCTACTTATTAAACATTTTCCTACATGTCATTTCCTTTGGCAAATGGGGTTGAGGCTATTTCCTCAACCAATGTCATGGATCTTGTTTATATTTGGTGTTCTCTTGGGTTATGTTTTGTTCATTTTTCCTATGTGTTAATTTTTATTCAATATCATCAAATTATTTTTATTGTATGTAGTACAAATAAATTCAGTTTGTATCTTGTCTCTTTTACCTTCTTTGATTTACATAGATTTAAATTTGTCCTAATTCTGATGGCTTCATTATTTTCATCTGGGGAAGCAATTTCCACCTTCAACAGATACTCATCTGAATTCTCAAAGTATTCTTTTATCTTTCCCATGTCAAGATGTAACTAAATTATTGTATGTGGACTATGAAAAATAAGTTACGATATATGTACTTACATATGTATAAATTACAATATATGTCCTGGCCTCCTGTATTAGACAGTGACTTCTGGCATTTTGTACAATAAGAATGCTATCACAAATCATTATTCTGTTTACATGTGAGCCCTTAAAGACTTTCTTCCTCTTTATTCTCTCTACTAATAGATGACTCCCTAAAGCATTTTAAATCTCCTGTATATATAGCAAGGTCTTGTTTACCACTCATTGAACATTATAAAACATTTGTTTTATTTAGCACTTATAATTATTTTTGCCCAATCTATAAGATGAGATTTGGATGTGACAATTTTCCCATTTCCATTTATTATTAGTGCTTATTTTAAAAAATATTGGGGTTCAATACATACATATTTTGATCATATCCAGTGACCATCTCTCTCCCTTATGCCACCCTAGAAATGTTTTATATCTTTGTGGCAGGTGGCCATTTGTGTATAAAATAATATATTTTCCTTGTCTAAGTTCATTGTTTTTAGACCTCTAATAAAAATTAATACTTTTATTAACAAAGTTTTAAGTTGTCATTCATTAATTTTCCTTATTGTTAAGGTTTTAGCTATAAAACTTGGTTCATATTTCAAAATTCTAAATACAGTTTTAAAAGAGAAATTATTAATTCCCTAAATCAGTTGAGAAAAATAGTTTCTATGATCTGTCAAAGTAATTCATTATTATTTTTTTTTTTTTAGTTTTTACTTGAATGCTGATCATCTAGGCTCCCTCTTTGAACCATGCTTCTGAGACAGTGCATGTGGAAAACTGAGGTTAATGAATAGGACAACCTCAGTTTAGCACTTCTTATTCTGCTTTTGCTTTAGCAATCAATTTTAATGTAGTATTGAATTAATGTATGAGAAATGCATGTGAAAGTATTTAATGACCAAGACATAAAATATTTAGAAGATTCAGACACATTTCAACTTGTTACAAACAGATTTTAGATATTTCATTTGGTGAATCTTGTTCTTCATAGATACATGTCTGCTTATTTAGGAGGCAGTGATCTATGAAGTTATGTCTATGTTCTACCACAGAAGAATGGGCTTTCTTGGATCCATCTCCAAAGAAGGTCTAAGGACATGAGATGTAGGAAACCTTTAAGAACTGGCTTTTATAGATAATGTTGATGTCTTTTTTTCATGTATGCAATTGAGGACCATTGGTTGTTGCTTATCAATACAGTTTCCTTAAGAGGAATATGAAAATATTTTGATAACTCTTCCAAGTGTGTTCACATTGTACCTTGAATCTGACCAGTACAATGAAGTGATTTAATATAACAAGTCATTATATTTGTTTCTACTCCATAGAAATAAATTGGGATAGTGATCAAATTGAAGATGAGTACAAAATATACAGAATATATATGAGGTAATTTTCAGTCATAAGAATAAGAATGTTAGACCAGGGATATAGGTCAGTGGCACAATGCCTGCCTGGCAAGCGCAAGGTCTTGAGTTTGATTCCCAGTATTAAAAAAAAAAAAAAAATGTTCCTCACAAAGTCAGTATGTCAACAGAACCATTAAAACAAAGTAAACTGCAAACTAGTCCATATTCAAATTTCTTCAGTCTCAAATTTTCTACAAAGATGCCCAGAGGTTGAGTATTCACAACCTGAAAATTGACCATTTAAAATATTTCAACTGTATTGTACTACTTTACACTGTTGCATCATACAGAAAGCACACAACAGCATAACTGTGACAGTGTCCAGCAGACATCTGAACTACTTCCACAATTTCTTTACATCTATGAGTATAATGCAAAGGCCATTTGAATCTGCAAGTTTTCAACTCAAATGTTAAGTTGGGGATTTAATATATACATTCAATATTTGCAAATTTATTTGGACCTAATAAATATGGGTGGTCCAGAGAATTCTTTGTCTTAGCTCTCAGAGTCTTAACTCAATTAAACGGTTTTGACCCTCCTGGAGCCCTAAAATCATACCACTTGCCTCATTGTATTGAAGCCTTGGCCATTTAAGAAACTGGGGATCTAGGTCAGGACCTGATAGTCTGGTGTATATTTCTGGGTTTCCCCATTGTCCCAGGACCTGCAAGATTCCTTATCATATCTTCTGTCTCATAACATCCTGTGTTGGCCAGTAACAGTCCTAGTGTCGAGTTTGCCCCCACTGAGACAATGCCTCTGCCAGCAACAGGCTGGTGCTGGGTGAGCAATGTCAAGTTTGAGTCTTACACTAAATGTAGTTTCTTAGGTTAACTTTATCAGCCTTTCCTTTAAAGTCCTATGGTATCATTTACAATCTTGAAATAATTTATATGGTAACATACCCACAGATATGTTTTATGTTGTATCCATTTTCCCCAAAACATAATGGGGGCAATTTTTAAATTTACAAATTAGAACTTACATACAGTACAGAAAACATAAATATGAAATATTCACTGAAGAAATACTTGCCATCATTCATAAACCACTGTTTTAAGCTGCATGGAGCTATGCTGCCTTTTCTATTGTTAGTAGGCCCCATACAGTACAGTATATCAGTTATTTATAAGATTTTTGCATTCAATTATGTAGTATAAATCTTATAATGGTAATTTAAAGTACACAGGAAGATGTTCATAAATTATCTACATATAATATACAACATTATACAATGGATTATAACATCTATATATTTGGGAAAACATAAAGCTCACAACACCCAACATCACTGGCAGGAGAGCAGAATCCTGAAGTCACAATCCTGTAAACAACTGTACAAAGGTTTTTGGTAAACGATTCATATTTATCCATGACACCAGAGAAATAGGCCTCAAGCACAGAGTGGGATGTAAAAGGATCATCTCAAAGTCATCAGCAGCTGCAGGTGCTCAGAAATACCTGAAAAGCCCACTCTATTGCCTGCAAATGTGTGCTCTTCCTTCCATCTCTCCTCACTCCCTGCTGGGATTCATACAGATTTCACACAGCTGATTTCAGAGCAAATCTTCTGTCTTTCTTCCTCATCTCTCATGTGTGTTGATTTTTATTTTGTGGTGCAGTTCTCAGGCTATGGTTATCCTGGTTCCTTCAAATACTCTATTTGTTGAGTATCTGTCATTTTCACTGTGGCTACTGTTTTGTAGAAAGAAGTGATGGTCATATTCCACTCTGGCTCAATCAGAAATTTGTGAAACTCTCACAATGATTTTCGACACAAGCACTATGGACTCCTAGTCACCTGTCAGGTCTGCATGTTCCCTCCCGTGGCAGAGTCCACTTAACACCTTTGAGATGCAGCCTTAAGATGAAGCTGAGTGCTGTTATATGCTCTGTGACAGCACTGCTCAAACATGAAGACCCAGACGGGGAATTAAGACATAAACCTAGATTGTACTAAGCCTGAATACAAAGAGGATCATGTGACTGCACTATAAACAATCTGGCAGACTCCTGTTGACTGTCTGTGATGAGAAAGGTATAGGAAATTGTCTTCATTGATGCTGTTTGATGTTTGAGTCTGAAGGAGAAGGATATGCATGAATTGTTCCATTTGACATAGTTCATACAAAAACAATTTAGTCATTTAATTTTCTTTCCTAAGAAAACAGTGATTGTGCTTTAAGATCTGAAGACTAAAGTCACTATTTTTCTATTCAAATCAGCTTCAGTAATGTCTTTTTCACATCTAAGAGAAAAGAAAAGCAATCTACCACACTTCTTAAGATATTAATATAAATTACATTTGATTAATTTTTCATTTTACTACAAAGGCAGTGCATGACTTTTTTCTTTATAATTTTAAGGACAATCCAACAAAACAAAATAAAGCAGATCAGAACAGAACATGCAAGCAACACAACTTCAAAACAAGACAACAGGAAATCAACAATGACTACCATAATATCTCTTGCTCTCTTCTAAATAGTTGTCCTTACCTACACACACAATAAATTCAAACAAAAGAATGAAAGCTGTTGTAGTCAGGGATTGTACACAGAGAACAACTAGGATTAGGACATGGAGTTTATAATATTTTATAATGGACACCGGAAGTTAACACAAGAAAATGCAGGAAATCTATCCGCAACACCAAAGACATAGATTATTTAGTCAAGAGTCTAACCCCAAAGCAACGTCCCACATGAGTCCAGAATAAATATCCAAAGCTCAGGACAATGCCTCCTACGAGTCCAGCTGGAGGTCCAGAGCCCACAAGAAGGACTCACACCAGTCTCTTTTACGGATCCGTGCCGGGAAGACCCAAGGGTCAGCGGTGGAAGCCAGAAAGTCTATGCCAGCAGGATGAAGGAGCTGTGCTAGTGGGATGAGGGTTCTACACTGGAGCCGAGAAGTCACACTCACAACAAAGAGCAGGGCGAGCCTGAAAGGCACCACAGCTGTCCTCAGTGACACGGAGGCCCGGAGCTCCTCCAACATCAAGCACAGTCGGGTACATGCCAGCAAGCAGCGTGACGAGTTCATCCTGGAGACCAAGCAGCACATGTCTTCCCCTCCAGAGCCAGGAAGCAATGCTCGATGTGAGGACCAAAGTTTCTCTAGGAGAACCAACAGCTCACACAGCAACTCATAGGAGAACCCACAATGCCTCCTTAACGCCTCAACCCTCTCTCAACACCTCTCTTCTTCTCCACCTATTTATCCTGACAACCCTCCTCAGGTGGAGCATCTTCTCTCAATGCATGCTGATGTAATCTAGCTGGCATTAAGTTGACCACCAGTTTTCAAACCATAACAAAAGCATTATGAGTATTTTTTTTAAATTTTATTTAAGGAGAAAAGAAAAAAAAACAGTGAAAGGGTACAAGTTATACAGATTTATAGGGAAAAAAATGAACAGTAGGAAATCACTATTTAATGGATTACATATTGCCATCTTAGAAATAATTGTTCAAGTCACAAAATTAAAGCTTGTGGAGTGGACATTCCAACAATGATACTGCAAACAGTTCTGTTCAATGATCCAATAAAACTCTGTGATATCATTGTCTATCTTATACACTTAACTATACATGCAGTTATATAGTTTAGAGCACTTTCTTTTCCTCTCTTTTGTACAATGACTATTACATATTTTGGGTTTCATTGCTCCCACGGTTCTTATTGCTTTTTTGGAAGAGAGTAAAACCAAATGTGACATAACAGAACAGAATCGGTCAATTCAAAAGGGTGGACATAATAGATAATGTAAAAACATAATACAAGGTGGTCAACAATGGTTACCATAATGCCTCCCGCTATCTCTAATAGAATTGCCTATATCATTAGTTATAATACAATTGAACAAAACAGTAAAGAACAAAACCGACAAAACCAAAACATTGGAGACATTGTAGGTCTTCAAAAGTAGATAAAAGTCAACGAGAATGGGCGTTATAATGAATCTCATTATCTTCACAGCTGATGCCTAAACTTTCGAACCTGATACTATCCAGCAAAACAGAATAGGGGAACATCAGTCAAAAACAAGATGGTGAGAGTAATACAGGGCTTCAAATCAAGATAATAGAAAGTCAAAGTGGGTTACTATAATAT